ATGTCTCCTCATAATGGTCTGAAATTGGTGAAATATTGTCTGGCGACAAGGTCACATTACTTAATTTTGGGAGATGAGAAGTCGGGATATGTGAAAGACAGCTAATGCTAAGCACGAGGCTAATGAGAAAGCCACTGATATTTTATGCCTTTCTATTTAGCTCTTTGAGAGGATTTCATATCATAATTATGGGTCAGCAGAAAGGAAATCGCTGCCTCTTTGACAGACTTGCTCTTGAATTATTAACGCTGAGGTGAATGTAGCTCTGAGGGTTCCTCAAAAGAAGAAAATGCAGGCCCTTACAAAGTGCTCTTGAACACAAACTTTATTCAGGAGGCTACTGAGTTGACAGCTGGCAAAAAAGCCACAGGAGGGGCCCAAAATCTGTGCTCATCCTGGAACCCAGACAGGATGCTTGTGTGACAAATGCATTAATGAAACAACAGCCTTAAAGGATGAGAATTTGTTCTGTTCCCCCACAGCTTTGCAATCTTCAAGCAAGAAAATAGTCTTGATTTAGGGGAAATGGAGAGTAAGATGTGATGAGAGGACCACTCAAGAGAGACCCTTAGAGAAAAGAGCCTCACCCCTACCTAAAATGGTTTTAAATGGGGAAGGTGAGGAAAGACTAGCACAGGGGTGGGCAACTGTGAAGGACTAGGGGGGTACATTAGCCCTCCAGGAGACCTTGGTGGGGACTGCATCCTCTGACCTGCTCCCCCACACACACAAAAGGGGTCCCAGTGGTGCAGTGGTTAAATGCCAGTACTGCAGCCACTCACTCACAAACCACAAGGTTGTGAGTTCAATCCCATCCAGGGGCTCAGGATCGACTCAGCCTTACATCCTTCTGAGGTTGCTAAAATGAGGACCCAGCTTGATGGGGGCAATTAGCTTACAGTTGTAAACCGCTTAGAGACTGCTCAGTGCAGTATGAAGTGGTATATAAATGAAGCTGCTGTTGCTATTGCTAAAAGAAGTCAAATCTTTTTGCCCCCCAATGCTCCAAAACACCATCCAGGGGGCATGGGGAAACAGAGGGCATTTTAAAGGCAAAAAAAGTGTTTTTGAAAAATTTTGCAAAATTTTGTTTTTATCCCTAAGCAGGTCAAAACGTGGCAGAAAGGCCTTCACGTCCTGGGTGACCAGGTCTCAAAGGCGGACAAAGCACTGTAAAATGTCAGACATCCAAAAAATGCAGGATATTACAAAATAAAAGCTAAAATCACTCATATAAAGATTAATTTGTGCTTCTTAGTCATGCTCAAAACAGAGGACATTTTGGAATTCCTCTTGGACAGAAGGCTGAAATGGAGGACATGTCCTAGAAAAGGAGGACATCTAGTCACCCTGTCCAGATCCCATATGGTAATTTTCAGGCATTTGACAGCAAATTTTCTTTGGCCTTGTGGGTGCATGTGGTCCATGGGCTTCACTTTGGCCCTGGGGGTGCATGTGGTCCATGGGCTTCACTTTGTCCTCTCCTGGACTAGTAGAAAGATTGAGTAGCAACAAAAGTTGGGTGAGATTTGGAACTTCATTTCAAATCAGGCTAGACTAAGAAGGGGTTGGATCCAACTCCAAATGGGACTAGAACTTTCAAGCAGTGCCTGCACAGGGGGAAGGTGGGATTTTCAAGAACTTGGCAATACTACTGTTTTTGAACTACAGATCCCCAAATCCCCCAGCCAGTATGGTTACTAGCCATGCTGACTGTGAGATTTTGGGAACTGTAGCAAAATAAATGAATGTAGCTTTTCCAAGGTCTGGAATTTGCATCATGAGTAACATCCATTCATAGTAGGGTTGCCAGATGTTTTTTTAATGGTTGTGTTTGTTATTGTTGTGCACCTTCAAGTTGTTTCCAACTTATGGCACTTCTAAGGTGAACCTATCACAGGGTTTTCTTGGAAAACTTCCTCAGAAGGGGTTTGCCATGGCCATCCTCTGAAGCTGAGAAAGTGTGACTTGCCCAAGGCCAACTTGGTGGGTTTCCATGGCTGAGCATGGATTTGAACTCTGGTCTTCTGAGTCCAGTGTGCACAGAAAATGAGAGAGCAGGTAAGCCTGCCCCACTAGCTTCATGTTAAAAATGCATAGATCTATAACTTCAGCCACCAAAATGGAAATCATCACAAAAGTGAAAACCTGCCCCATTAGCTACATGTTAAAATGCATAGATCTGTAAGTAGAGAGACCTTGTAGCACCTTTGAGACTAAGGGCCTTTGCAGACTGCAAGAAATAGTGCAAATTGAGTCCACTTTAAGGGTTAGGGTTAGGGTTAGGGAATCATGGGAACTATATTTTATTGTGGCACCAGAGTTCTCTGACAGAGAAGGCTCAATGTCTCAGAAAAAAAACAACAACAATTCCCGTGATTCCCTAGCACTAACCCTAACCCTAAAAGTGGACTCAATTTGCACTATTTCTGGCAGTCTGCAACCCCCCTCAGTGTCTGATGCAGAACATCACAGATGCCATTGCCATCCCCTCTGCACAGGTCTGGGAAAGATCCCTGGAGAGCTATTGCCAGTCACTGTAAATAATACTGAGCCCCACAGACAATTCAAAGATATACATACATACATACATACATACATACATACATACATACATACATATTTATTGAAATGACTAACAGAACTAAAAAAATAATAACGTATTAGGTTTTGGTTTCTGCCTTCTTCAGTTGCTAGTGATCAAACTGGGCTACATCTGAAGTGGCAATATAAACACTCGGTTTCCAGCATTCTCTAGTAGATAATGGTATTATCCTCTAAGTTGAAACTAAAAGTGGTATTAGGGTCTTAACTTGGGAGACGTGTTGTTGATTTGCTTTTTAATCAGCTATATATACATTTACACACACACATTCTGTCACACACAATATTATACAAGTCCATGAGATATTGATGTGAATAAATCTTTGAAGTCTTTAAAATCAAAGCTCAGTAAATATTCAATAAATGTTTCAAGCAACTAGAGTAAGGATTAGTTTTATATCTACCAACCTTATTTTGCCATGGGCATTTTACTCAGATATGTCCAAACTATATTTTTTCAACAGGAGTCTCCCTTGCATATGCACAAACACACACACACACACACACATGGACAGAGAGAGAGAGAAAGAGAGAGAGGGACTCAAATCACATGCATTTGTGGACAGAGGTCTTCTCATTTTTGATGGCTATAACAAATAGCCTAAATAACTACTTTTTTTAAAAAAAAAATTAAATTATGTTTCCAAAATTTAAAACACATATAAACATACACTCCATCCTACTCACCATACAAACTTGGACACAAAAATGGGCAAACCATAATACAGAAGTACACAACTATCATTTCAAACATTAAAATTACTTCCTTACAGATTATTCCTCAAGGGAGAGGAATAATCAATTACAATTTCAATTTGGGTAATGGTAGATTATAAGAAATGTATACACTAACTTTGATTTGATTCAATAGACTTAATAAGTATATATGTCATGAAGAACATTCTGGTAATAGAAAATCAAGAAAGAAACAATTAGAAAGAGATTATAATCTGTAAACAAATAATTACTTTGAGACTGCAATCCTATACTCACTTACCTGAGAGTGTGCCCCCCCCCAAATAGGTCTTATTTCTAACATTGAAAAATACAGTGGGCCCTTGCTATCCACTGGGATTTGGTTCCAGAACCATCTGTTGATCTCAAAATCCATGGATGTCCAAGTCCCATTAAATGCAATGGCATAATAAAATAATATCTCTTATATAAAGTAGCAAAATCAAGGTTTGCTTTTTAGAATTTATATATTTTTGAATATTTTCAGGCTATGGATGTTTGAATCCGTGGATAAAGAATCCATGGATACAGAAGGCCAACTGTAGCTGCCTAAACTAGCTGCCAGCTTCTAACAGCAGAGTTGCCAGCCTCTACTTTCCATCCAAGGTCTGTGATCAGCATTTACTCCCAAATGGAGAGGAGAGGGGGGATGTAAATGTCAAGAGGAGAGTTTTCCTGTATGCCAATACAGTCAACCAATTAGCATGAACAAATCATATTCAAGTCAAGGAGCTCTTGGCACAGGCTGAGTGTCTTGCCGGTGGCTGCCTGCTTTCTTGAAAGTGCCATATACATAACTACAGAATACAAAGGCTAACACAGCATTCTAGGAAATTTTTATGCAGGTATTTCAGTTTGTTCTTAAAATATGCCAAGAGGACCCCATTAAACACATTGTAAACTTCCCATGTTAAAATCACAGACTCTCCCTCTCACACACAATAAATCTGGCTTCCATCCTTTTCTGCAAAAGATAAGCAGCCTCTCAAGCAGCACAGTGGTTTTGCAAGCTTTCTAGTGGCTTCAGCACAATTCCCATTGTATGCAAAAGTTAAATTTAAAGCTGCAGATCAGAACCTCTGGTTTTTATACCTTCTGTTTTGACCGCAGCACCTCTGTAAATAACAGGAGACAGGAGAAAATAACAATTTTAAATTAAGTCAGCAAATAGTGGGAGAAAGAAGTTGACAGCATGGGCTTTTGTAGACTTAAGAAGTAGACTTAAATCTATGAAAGCTTATGCTGCCAACTTTTTTCTTTCAGTTAGTCTCAGATGCTACAAGATGTCTTTACATACTGATTCTACAGACTAACATCGATATATATTTGAATTCAGCAAACAGTGGGTTATTGATGCTCACAGTAAAAACTAGGACATGGAAGTTTTTATAGAGTGCTATAGTAATAATTTGGCCTCCTTCATTCTATCCTCACTTAAGAAGTTGTAACACATTTAGTGGTCAGTGTTGTTTCTGTTAGCAAATATAGAAGCTGGTGATGATAATTATCACTAAATTGAAAAGAAACATGACGGTATTGGAGATAGAATCTAATATCTCTAGCTACATGACTAGGGAGAGAGAGAGGGAGGAAAAAGAAAAAGTGTAGCTGTAAATCAAGAAAGTCTTCTGAATATATGTCTACTAGTTGAAGAAATGAGAGGCAGCATAGTGTAGTGGTTTGAAATTTGGACTATGACTCTGGAGACCAGGGTTCGATTCCCAGCTTGGCCATGAAACCACTGGGTGACCTTGGGCAAGTCACATGCTCTCAGCCTCAGGGGAAGGCAATGACAAACCTCATCTCAACAAATCTTGCCAAGAAAACCCCATGATAGGGCTGCCATATGTCAGAAATGACTTGAAGGCACACAACAACAATTGAGAAACAGAGGAATAGAAAACAGAAAGAAGGAATGCTCCTGGAAACTAGACAAAGGAGATTATTGCACTGCCCTTTCCCATCCTTTCCTCCTGAGCTAGGTGCGGGATGTAAACTTTAATACAATTTCCAAAAGGTCACAGAATCCTTATTCATAACAGCTGTTATTAGGTTGGACCAAGATTCTTTAAGAGCAGTTTCTTTCTTTGCTTTTATCAGTTTCTTATATTGTTTCTTAGCTTCAAACCATTCCAATGGAATTGTTTGCAGATTCTTTTGTCTATAATCTTTGTATTGTTTTACCAGTGTTTGCTTCATATTAATACAGTCCTGGTCGAACCAACTTTTATTTTTCAGCTTCTTACTAGGTGCTTTCGAAGATGCTGGGTGAGATAACAGATTTCCAAGTATTGTACTTAACTGATAGAGAGGTTCAAATATATTGTCTAAGGATTCTTCCGTTAGGATTAAGCTTCTTAAAGAAAGACATTTTTCAGAACTAAGGATTATTTTAAAATAATTTTCGACCTTTGTAGACCACTTAATGCCACGTGGTCTCAATTCCAC